ATTATAATTAATATTAAAACTGCTTTTTTTAATGCATGTATGATATATATTTTACATTTATTAGAATTATTGATAGTAGAGTTCTAAATTCATGCCATCGTGTATTTCATCTGAAATTAGCGCGATTAAGAAAAATATAACTTTGTATGAAATTATTTGTTTATAGTTCGAAAAATTATAATAAATTGTCTTAGTATATATTATATATACCTATGACACGATCGTATTTTAACAGAAAGGATACAATCTTGCAGCTTTATGTGATCTTTGAAAATGGTGTACCACTTTTTCAATACAATCTTCTCCCAGTGCGTCCCCGTCTGGGCGGCTATCAATTTTTTCAGATCTCCTATGGTGTCGTCCGGGTTGCATTTGACTCTAACCTTCTTACCGAGACGGTCGTTACATGTTATCTCTAACATTTTCTACCGTACCTGACAATAAAAGAATTTTGATAATATACTGCGCAATAATTTTACGTAAGTTACAACAATCAACATTTGTTTACACTCTTCATTAATATCGCAGACACGTGTCAGACATGTATTCGTGTCGTTTAATATTCAATCCAGATATCGCAGGCGAAAAATGATCGCACTTACTCTCGCTATATACTAAAATTGCGCGGCTTCAAATTTTCGCAGTGGTTCGTGAAATACGAAAAGACTAATATTGGGTCGATGACAATTCTAATTTTCGCTCTCTGATTTTGCGTTTTCTTTTTTTGAGGTTAAGAAGAGAAAAAAAAACAAAGTTCAACCAATTATACTCGCGGTCGATAATAAAGATTTCGTTATTTTAAATTTAAATTACCTACCTCGATAGTATCAGACTACGCATTGAAAATTGAAGAGATTGAAGATTAAAGATTGGAATTTGACTAATCAACACACACACACACACACACACACACAGAATAAAAGAGACTAAAATTTCTTTGTCCTGATTGGTCAAATTTCAATCTTGAATCTTGAATCTCAATCTTCAATGCGTAGTCTGATACGGGCAATAGCGTACTCTTTCGCTACGCTACATGCGAGCGAGAGAGAACGCAAGGAGCACGGAACAGAGAATGTCCTTTTCTACATGCACCTTTGCCTCCACTCCTAAACACTCGGTCTAGATATACTATGTCTATGGCTGTTCTATAAATCGCCTATATGTTTATTATGAATATATTTCTAAATTATTACGTGTGTTTACTAAACATAAGATGGATGTAATAAAAAATATAATCTTTCGCTAATTTGAGCAAGAAAAATTAATCGAGTATGCGTAATATTGCGATTGCTTGCAAAAGACAATTTATATTTTCTGTGTAAAAATATTCTCTATATTTTCTATATAACATTTTTTGTAGTTTTTTCTTGGAGAAATACTTCGTCATGGCTGCGAACAACGGTGAATTTACGAATGTTGTTGAAACAGAGATTATTAAAGGTGAACAGGATGATGTATTGGAAAAATATCTACTATTGAAAAAGAAAAAAATACAGAAAAAGCAGCGCTCGAAGACGATAGCATTGAGAATCATGAAAGTAATTTGATATTTCGAAATTTTTATATGTACGTACATATAGTAAAATTAATAATTAATAAGGATATGTCATTAACATCATTGTATATATGTACATATATATATATGTGCTCCTTTGCATTGTCTGTTATATTATCGTTTTTTTTTTCACGTTAAATATATTCTATTTCTGGGTATTACTTATGCGTAGTCTGATACGGGCATAAAGAAATTTTAGTCCTTTTTGTTTTGTGTGTGTGTGTGTTGTGTGTGTGATTAGTTAAATTCCAATCTTTAATCTTCAATCTCTTCAATTTTCAATGCGTAGTCTGATACGGGCAATAGCGTACTCTTTCGCTACGCTACATGCGAGCGAGAGAGAACGCAAGGAGCACGGAACAGAGAATGTCCTTTTCTACATGCACCTTTGCCTCTGTAAAATCTGCATCTCTTCGCATCGAGGAATTAGCACGACCCACTAAACAACGCGTATTGATTACACTGAAAGAGAAAATATCGATATTGTCACCAGCATTTGTAAATAATCTTATTAGAATCATTGAGGCTGAATCTTGCTTAACTCCAGAGTATGTATTATGTGTCTCGCATATAAAATTCAGATTTAATTTTATATGAAAAAGACCGTTGAATATTTCTCAATCTTTAACTCATAATTCTAAGAATTTTTGACAAATTATTAATTGCTTGTAGGGAAGCGGCACGAACTCTTCGCCGGAAAAAACGTGGAAGGAAGAAGATAACACAATTTTCACCACTCATAAAAAAATGGGTAAAAGAGATTACAGAAGATATTACACACACAACAATGCTAGACAGGGATGCGACAATGTGTCAATATTTGATGGCTGAACACTTTGTTAAGAGCATTCTTGGACATCAGTGTGAAACGCGAAAGGATATTCGCGAAATCGCGGCTGTGATATTCAAACACTTAATATCTTTCGACAAATATACGACGGATGTTCGAAATGGCGATCGAGCAATGCAGCAGTTGCGCTTTTTAGCCAATATAGTAGCTTGCTGGATAGCTGAGATACTTATTGAAGTTGCTGAGATCCATAAAGAAACTCTGGAAGAATATTTAAAAAAAAGACAAATGAAAATGATAGAAATGAATGATGATAATCAAATAAATAGTGAAAATAAAAATTGGAAGCAGATAGATCAGAAGGAAGATAAAGAAAAAAAGGAAAAAATTTAGAATACAAAACAAGGGAGCAAAAAAAAATAGAAACAAAGCAAGTTGGATAAAAAAAGTGAAAAATAAGGAGAAAATGAAAACATTAAGGAAAAACAAAAAATTAAGAAAATGTAAGTAAAAAAGAAAAGGATGAAGAAGTGCATAGAATGGAAGAGAGAGATAAAGTGAAAAAAGAACGAAGAGACAGTGAAAGAGTTAGAAAGCAATTGAAAGATAATATGATATTGAAAATAATTAAAGGTACTTAGTAAATAGAAAATGAGATAATCAGAAAATATTTTTGTGAAATATAAACGATGGATTGAAAATGGCAAAGAAAATGAATAATTCAGACAGAATAAAAAAATAAATAATAATGATGGCGCTTAAGAGAATCATGATTGTGAACACGGATGCTGAAACGAATATTATTGATGTTATTGATGCTGAATTGATTAAAATAATATGCCAAAATAATTATTTTGATTTATAGTTTCTTGTTCTTGTTATGTCATTAAAATAGAAATTTATTATAAATGTAATTTTGAAAAAAATTCTAAAAGTAAGTCTAATAAGGTATGCTCTGCTTGATGCTATTTTTTGCTTAGAAGTGCAAGATTCATCTTCAATAGAAAAATGAGATGATCAGAAAATACTTTATTGAAATACAATGGATAAGCAAATAAAATGGATGATTCACAAATATAAAAAAAAATAAAGATGAAAATTGTGTTATCTTTATTCAGTATCTCTGGTCCATCAAACACTAAATCGAAAATAGCATCAGAGTGCATTTAACATCTGGCAACTAAATATAAAAGTCATATTTTGAGACAAAGCGACAAGAATAAAATATAAAAAATACAATAAATTATGTAAATTTTCTTTGAAATAAATGATACAATAGGAATGTAATTTAACCTAACCTAGCGATTCATAATTTTATTTCGTTTACCGACCCTGACTCACGGTTTGGCGAATGTGTAATAAAATTTCCAGGAAATGTTTCTCTTGGATTTGTAGAGTTTTGATATCAATTTGGCATTTTATATATTAAATTTTTGATGAGATTGCAATGACTCCATGTCCATATATCTATTATTAAAGCCACCGACGAGATATTATTAAAGACCGTCAGCCTTGGGTAAACTTTTGTGACCATCAAGTGGGCCCGGAGGTAATTGAATAATGTTGACATTATCGGCCGTTTGATTAGATCGAAGATAATTACACGAATTATTTAATTCATACGGTTATTTTATTTCATCCAGTTATTATTTTATTATCGAAAACACCGACGAGATATTATTAGAGACCAATGCGATGGTCTTATAGGATTTAGCATATTACTGGAGAAAAACTCGCCACGCGGTACTGTAGATAAGTAAATCTTTGCATTGTCGATAATAAAACAGTAAATTTACGATAAAATGTTGATTTTGTTGTTCTTGAGGCAGTTATATAAAAGATCTATACATTTTTGATAATAAAACAATAACTAGATGAACTAAAATAACGCGCAGCGAGTTTTTTTTCCAGTCACACTAAATCCCATAAGACCACCGGTCTTTAATGATATCTCGTCGGTGTTAAAGCATAAAAAATAACGTATATTTGATAGCCGCGCCATATATCGATCAAACTAAATTCTGTTGATGAAATACGATGAAAATATTCACAAACGCGTGCTTGGCGAAAATAACGAGGCAGCTTTGCAACGATATTTAGTAGCACTTATATCATTTGTGAATAGCACTTCATAGAGATATAGGAAAACAATTATTGTGATTTGTACATATAGTTTACATATAAGATAAATTGCAGATTATGAATATGGTAATTAATTTAATTATGATTTAACGAACTTCTATCAATTTAATATATATATATATATTTTATCATTTTTTGTTAATTCTATATTATTTTTATTCTAACTTATTAAAATTATTTTTTACTCGTTTAAAAAAAATATCAAAACTTTTTCTTCCCTGTATTTTTAAGATTATTCTATATTCTTTGTCAAGGTAATGTTTCTCTAATTCTATTTTTTTTCTTACAGGCATCCACATCGAAAAAACATGCCACTGGTGCTGTCTGCAAGAAAAATACAATAAAATTTGAGCTAACAGAAGGACAGAAAGCTGATATAAAAGAAGCTTTTGATTTATTTGATCCAGATGGTACTGGAAAAATTGCTACTAAAGAACTGAAAGTTGCTATTAGAGCTCTGGGCATTGAACCAACAAAAGAAGAATTAAAAAGGCTTGTAACAGATGTAGATCCAGATGGTCTTGGCAAATTATCTTATGAAGAATTCTTAAATATAATGACAATGAAAATGTCAGAAAAAGATTCAAAAGAAGAAGTATTAAGAGCTTTCCGTCTTTTCGATGATGATGATACAGGGAAGATATCTTTCAAAAATCTAAAAAGAGTCGCACATGAATTGGGGGAAAATCTGACCGATGAAGAAATACAAGAAATGATTGATGAAGCGGATAAAGATGGCGATGGAGAGATATCCCAAGAAGAATTTCTGAGAATCATGCGAAAGGCATATTTATATTAGGATATTGTTGAAGTACATAATGTGCTTTTAAGTTAAATATGTGTTGTATGCATATACCTAAAGAAAAGACTGATATATGTATTAGCACAATTATATATTTTTGTCAAAAATATTTTTTTATAGTATTTGTGTTAATATATGGAATATATTCAGTAACATGCCATTAGTATGTTAAAATAAAAGACACTCTAACTGTACAATATTTCTTTACAGCAAATAATTTTTTCTTTTTATACTTTATAACGTTTATTCTTTCTAATTTTCTCTTTCTGGATATTGTTTGAAGTTTGTAATAAAGTACAACTAAAAAGAACAGATTTACATGATAATCACGGATATTTTGTATATCTTCATTTAATAATACTTAATATAAAAAATAACTATATCTTCATTTAATAATATGAAAAGATGACAATATACACATAGATGCACACAATATAAAACAGATATTGTTTTATTTTTATAAATTTATTTCTATATTATTTATGTTTAGTGTCGAGATTGCAGCATTGATTACCGATCTGACTAATTTTGCTCTTATTTTTGTCATTTCTAGTCCTTTGCAAAGTAAATTCTGGGAGATAGCAATTCCACCTATATTAAGATTATCATTATTAGAGAATTTTTTATTATATGGGATGAGTATATTTTAATAACCATTAAATAATACAAAAAAGTCATTAAAATATAAATAATATTTACTGTGCTATATTCTATATTATAAAAGTAGAATACATACCAGGTTTATGTATATAACAAATTTCTTCTTCATCATCCATCACAATAAAAAATCTTGCCGATGACAAGACTTCTTCATCATCTGAAGGATCGGCTAGCAACAGTTGTCTATATATAAAAAAAAAAAAAAATTTTTTTAAATTAAAAAAAACAAATTAAGTTTAATTGTAAAAAAAGGAGGGATGTCTAAGAAAGGATATTTAGTTATAATAAACTTAACTAACTTTTCAAATATTGCAAATGATGCAGAAACTGGAAATGTTCTTACAGGAAATGCTTTTCTATTTTCTGGATGTACAACAATTATTCCTGTTTCATTGTTGTAGTTTACTTCAGGTAAGGTCACTGTAAAGTAAATTTTTTTTTTGAATTCAGTAGAGTAGAGATAAGAAATTGAAGAGATATTATCATTATACATGTTCACATGACATACACGTTTTAAGAGCTGCAATCACTGCTCCAATACAAGCATCTATAACTGAGCCATTGAAATTTAGACATAAGATATCGCAGTACAAGACCCATACTAATTTATTTTTGCAGATGCAAAGATCTTTTAAATCAAGCGCTCTCGAATTGCTTAATATAATATCTATCGATTTAGAAAGCACTTGCGCTTGTTCGCTCGGTGGGCCTGGACGAAACTTTGAAGAACACAGAGGAGATAATTCTATATTTGGTACTAAATAACCATGATCTGGAATATCTGCTCTTGGTATTGCTAATTCCTGAAATATAATATCTGGATATTTTGCATATTTAATTGCCACTTTTTATAAATAATCTGATGATACTTTCTGTTTATATATATATATATATATATATATATATATATATATATATATATATATTGTTCGACTT